ACAGTACGGCAACTGCACGCGCGTCCATGTATAACGCTTCTTATAGCTATGTGAAAATAAGTGTATAATTGGAACAGTTCATTGTTGGAGCTGAGCTGAATGAGAGAGAGATGCAGAGCAGGAGTACACGAGGAACAGTATTAAGAACCTCTGCTTTAGAACATTGATTTTGAATCTTGTGAATCCATTAGAATCATTAGAAGACAGAATCGCGATTCATATATGAATAGATTTTTACATGCACCTCTAGTTTTCTCTTCCTCTTCTTTAAAGCATTTTAAAAGACGATATCTCCGTTGGCATTGAACTTTCAGCTTCGTAACTTTGCAGATATTGTTTATGCTCAAACAGCAACATAACACACTAACTAACGTTAAAAAAAGTGAAATCGCAATCAACCACCCCTTTAAGAATTTTTGCTTACCTGGAAGATCTCGAGGAGATTTTCTTTGAAGTTCTTGCGGCTGTAGTTATCGAAGTCTGAATCTAATTTCTCAAATTGAACCCTGACAGGAAAAAAATAATATTATTTTGAAGGCATTACATGAATTCAATCCATGTCATGTTTAGTCAATCTCTACAAACGTTAATAGCAGAGGCAGACAGTAGTGAAGTATTTTTACTTTGCTGTAAAAGTACTTTTCAAGTGTCTGTACTTCATCAGTTTTTCTTTTGAAAACGTTTACTTCACAACATTCCAAAGCATAATATTGTACTTTTTACTGCACTATGTTTCATATTAAATATAATTTCATACTTAAATTAAAACTTTGAATTACTTTTACTTGAGTAAAAGAAAGAAAGTACTATATTTCTAATGTAATTGAGTACAAGAAAGTACTATATTTAAGTATTAAAGGAAAAAAAAACAACAACAACAACTTTAATTTATAAAATGTAGGGCAGTAAAAAGTATGACATTATGCTTTGGAATGTAGCGAAGTAAAAGTTTTCCAAAGAAAAAAAAAAAAAAGGAATATGTATACTATGTATTCCTCTTGAACCTGATTACTGATTACTTAAATTTATGATCTTATTGCAAGGTGCTGAATTTAACTTTCAAAAACTGTCAATGTATTTCTTATTCATTTTCATTGTTATATGGATCACTGCATATGTTCAAGACACATGTACATCACACTTCAAAAACCAGGTTACATATTATGGCTTATTCAGTCTCTGGAAAAATTTTTTTTTAAATATATTTTGGCAAAGTTGATCCATTTACATTGTTATTTATGCAAACCAATTGTAAAGTCTAAACTGTGGTATCTTGTGTCCTCACCTGTTCAGAAGAAAAGCTGCCAGTTCCACATCACTCTTCATACCCTTCTGTTTTTTTAAAGTTTTCCACCGTTTAAATTCGGCACCAATATTTATACTGTTATTCTGCTCTTTGTTACTAAATTACACAAAACAAACAATCATCACACAAGCACTAGCTTATTCCTATACATATTTCATCAGTGCTTTTCAGAAGAGCAAGATTAGAAGAGAATGCAACATAGAGAATAAGCCAGACGAAAAAATAAGAATAACATAGTTAAAAATTACCATATAGCAGGAGGACCAAAAAGAGAATTTAAAGCTCAGTAATAAATTAATAAACCTACCGATATGCTAGGGAAAACAAATAGGTTTTTAAAACAGACTAGACAGAGAAAGGGCCGTTCTAATCTCTAAAGGCAAGGTGTTCCAAAGTCGTGGCCCTGCCACCGCAAATGTACGCTAACAATTTCTCACTCCCAAAACTCTAGAAATGGCTGTTCATGTGTTTGTTATGTCTTAGCAAGATTACTGCAACTCTTTATACTGCTTAAATATAAAAGTCTCAAATTGCTCGCCTTCAGCTAGTCCAAAACGCAATGTATTTCTTATTCATTTTCATTGTTATATGGATCACTGCATATGTTCAAGACACATGTACATCACACTTCAAAAACCAGGTTACATATTATGGCTTATTCAGTCTCTGGAAAAAATTTTTTTTTATATATTTTGGCAAAGTTGATCCATTTACATTGTTATTTATGCAAACCAATTGTAAAGTGTAAACTGTGGTATCTTGTGTCCTCACCTGTTCAGAAGAAAAGCTGCCAGTTCCACATCACTCTTCATACCCTTCTGTTTTTTTAAAGTTTTCCACCGTTTAAATTCGGCACCAATATTTATACTGTTATTCTGCTCTTTGTTACTAAATTACACAAAACAAACAATCATCACACAAGCACTAGCTTATTCCTATACATATTTCATCAGTGCTTTTCAGAAGAGCAAGATTAGAAGAGAATGCAACATAGAGAATAAGCCAGACGAAAAAATAAGAATAACATAGTTAAAAATTACCATATAGCAGGAGGACCAAAAAGAGAATTTAAAGCTCAGTAATAAATTAATAAACCTACCGATATGCTAGGGAAAACAAATAGGTTTTTAAAACAGACTAGACAGAGAAAGGGCCGTTCTAATCTCTAAAGGCAAGGTGTTCCAAAGTCGTGGCCCTGCCACCGCAAATGTACGCTAACAATTTCTCACTCCCAAAACTCTAGAAATGGCTGTTCATGTGTTTGTTATGTCTTAGCAAGATTACTGCAACTCTTTATACTGCTTAAATATAAAAGTCTCAAATTGCTCGCCTTCAGCTAGTCCAAAACGCTGCGGCCTTCTTCATAAGTGTCGTAAACATGAACATATCACCCCAATTCTCAGATCTCTCCATTGGTTGCCGGTTCACCAGAGAATAGACTTTAAAGGGGTCATCGGGTGCGACATGCACTTTTACAAGCTCTTTGAACTGAAATGTGTGTTGGCAGTGTGTGTACACAACCACCCTATAATGATGAAAATCCACCCAGTGGCTTTTTTTATATCTCGTTAAATCATTTCCCCTTTCTCAAATCAAGCCGATCTCAGATGCCTGTCTGTGTGACGTCACACCGACTAAATGCTTGTTCACACCGGGACGAATATCGCACGCGATTATCGCCAACGTTTAACGCCCCATGACTAAACAAAGGGCGCCAATGTGAGTGTGCACACCGACGCGCAAAACGCGAGGCGTAAAAGCATAATTTATTTTTTTAAACGCCTCGGGCTCATTTTTTTGGTTTGACGCGCCGCGTTAAAAACTGTCCGACCAATGAGATTGGCGCTTTTGTTCACGTGCCTGGAGCTGCTGAATTTACAGTAAAACACGACTTGGTGGCGCTCAAGCACAAAACGGTCTTGCCGA